GGTGAATAAGGAGAGGAGGATGTGGGGATATGAGGCGCGCCCGCGACCATTTCGCGGGCATTCCGCCGCACGGCCACACCCTTTTGCTTTTTCTGCTTTGATAACGACGCGCGGCGATAGATGGCGCCACGTGCGGGCACGGCGCGCGGTATGCGCACGCCGAGGGAGCGCTCTGTCCTCCGTGGTCGGCGCCGGGTAAGCACATGTTTTTCTTCGTCCGCGTCCCCTTTGGGAATTGCCGGACTGTAGCCTGCCTGGGGTGGCCTTTGGCACCTCGGCAGGCGTGTTTACTTGAGTGCTAGCATCGGTAGCGTACGCTAAGCCCACAGCAGTGCCTAGTGCTTGAAGTGGTCGTACCACACCGAGCCGCACTTGCCGTAGGCCTACGCGTACGAGGTTTGCCCTAACACTCGCGACCAGGCCCAGTGGCCATCGTGAGAGTGCGCAGCATTGCCGCGAGGGACCTTTTCCCGACTGGCGTGTCAAAGCTCGCCATTGCCAGCTGCGACGTGCTCGCGGTTTCCCCCTTATTGTGAACGTCCGCGTGTGGGTGCCTTTGCTCCCTGCGTCCCGGTAGCGGACGTTGTACTGTTGTTCGGGGTGCCGCCAAAGGCAATAAAGTGTTGTGTATTTTGTATTAGAACACTGTCTGTTTTGCCGCGCCGTGATAAACGCCTTATTAGGTAACCATGAACCCGCGGTGATCATCCGCTACCGTGAGTAGCGGGGACACCATACAATGAAGATAAAGTTAACTATCTCTAGCTTGTTTATGGACTTCGTTCGCTTGCTTGCACATGCGGTCATTAGTGCACTGCCTAATTAGACAAAAATATCACCCACATAAAAGAGAAATCTTGTACACAACACCATCACAACATTAAGCAAACCTGTTGATGATTCTTACATCTTCCCATTTTGCTCTCTCAAATTACTTGCCGAGACAGAGCTATTGGGCATCCTCTCGGTGGCTTATTTCTGCCAGAAAACAACAACCTAACACGTGCCCCCGGACCACTTTCGTAAGATAGTGCCACCTTGCGTATATTAGAGATGACTGCAACGGTTAGCTGCAGATGTGTCACTGATTGAACAACTGAGAACTTCTTTTTAAAGTCAGGTCCCAGCCTTCCTGCCATAGTGGTCAAAAGTGTTTCTAGGAAACCTGCCAACTTCAGACGTGCTGCTTGAGAACAAAAACTTGTTTCAACTTGGTCATTACAAGACCTTTCAAGCGTCCCATTCAGGCAAAATCTGGCGCTTAACAGTCTTCAGGTGAGCCGAAGAAAACAAAAAGGTGACACCTACAGACATGGCTGTTTGAGAATGAGTGTTCGAAATCTAAGCATAGCACATAGTCTCAAGACTGCTAAGTGCTCAATTCAAAAAGACTTAAATACTTGAGGAATACAACAAATAATAATATATTTGAATTTGTTTTGGTTCGAATTGAAAAATCAGAAATCTCAAAGTATATTAAATATAGGTATAGGTGTTCAGTAAAACCTTGCTAGTTTGAAGTCACTTGTTACGCACTTCCCATACCTCTTGATACGTTTTAATAAACCCCTTTTTTCTGTGTAGGGCAGCATACCAGTCCTTCCAGTCTAGTTAACATCCCTGCCTTTCCTTCATTCATTCCTATCATTTTGTATGTAATACATGTTTTTCTTAGTACGGTAACGGAAAAGTAACTTTTAATGGTAACTGTAACTGTAACAGAGTTACTTTTTTGGCTTAGGGAACTGTAACTGTAATACTGTTACATTTTATTGGTGACGTGCCCATGACTGGATGCAAGGAACTTTGAATTTTTGAGTGTAGGTGGTCATTTTCTGTGCCGGCTCGTTCGCAGCTTCAAGGGTTATGGTTTCCTGCAATACCTGGGCCCAATTTTGCTGCAAACACAGGTGAAAAGCGGGCACCGCTGCTGCCAGCGAAAGAGAGAGATAAAAAATGTCATGGTAAACTAAAATGTGCACCTGCGGAAAAGAGGGCGTGTGTCGCTGCAAGACAGTGGTGACATGCGGGCAGCATTTCACCTGCTTCTCACAGCGTGGGCGCGTCATGATGCAACCATTTGTCCATTCTTTTACGTAAAATAAATAATTTTGTAATGGCCAGTGTGGCAGAATTGGCCATGTGTTTCGACTGGAAACCGTGGTCATTAAGTTTTTGAACTCAGTTTAAAGTAGGCGTTGCACGCAGAAATTCTTCTACTACAGCAAGTGCAATAATTGCTGGAGCAGCGGCCAATCGGAACTTCGCATACATCGCGAATCGCGTCAGACTCATCATTACGGTGTTGTAGGTGAAGATGAGGGAAAGGAGAAGCGGTGTCCCAGTTTTTGTGGTTTTGCCATCCACGAAGGCCTGCATGCAAACAAGTTGCTGACAGTACTCACGGACTCCAAGCAGGCAAGGCAGAATTTATGGGCCTGCTGCACATGTCTTGGCACAAATACCAAAGGAAGACAAGGAAGACTACTAAATATGGATCATTGTACGGATACCAGGACGCTCTGGCATCGCAGGTAAGCTGCACGCCGACCGGGCAGATCGAGGCATCATACACAGCCGAGCACCCCTTATGTTGACTGCAGTGGACCCAGAGCAAGTTGACCTCCAGTATGCCGCAATATTGAATTACCAGACAGGGCAAGGCCTATGGTATCCACCACCTCGCCAAAAAGCTTACGACGGGGGAGGCGACTGACTAGCGTAGTCTCCAAACCGCAACCTACAAAAATCCACACACACTACAGTCAAATTCCGCTACAACTAAATTGACGGGACGTGTGAGCAAATTTGTTGTCATGAAATTTTTATTAGTGAAATTTTATCTGTAGAACACAAAATTTGGTAAATTCTGATGATTATGACTCGTTCTTTTGTCCCTGCAAGCACAGGAATTGAACTCTCACTAACTCCGATGTACCTGGCCGAACAATGAGTGAACGTATTTTCTCACGTATAACGCAACCAAAATATACAGAAAATTTGTAGCTGAAGTCGGGGTGCGGGTTATACGATAATTTTGGCACACAAGTTGGCTTCGCGATACGGTTTCATGGCTATGCAAAGAAGGTGGCTTTGTATCAATACAATTTTTTTCTTTCCCGTAGTTTGCAACCGGGGTGCCGGTTATATGCAAGGGTGGGTTATACAGATGAAACTACAATATTCAGATGACTTTTGGAGCTTGCCAAGTGCACTGCACCGCGAACAAGCGTGCCAAAGCTTCACTAGAGGCCTACTGATAATTGCAACGTAAAGTGACAAAGCTTTGCGCTACCGTGACCATAGGTAAATGACAGGAATGCCGTAACGCTTCATGTCATTTTATGGCTTTATTGCCTTTAATTTACAACTATAGCGACTATAACAGTTGCTGTTTCCTGTAGAGGAGTTGTAGAGCGGTTGCGGCAAAAGAAAGTTCCATTTTTAATCTGTGCTCGCTGCACTGGCCATGCGCCCGACTTAAGAACTGCGTCGTTGCTATCTTTGTTCTCATTGTTACGGTAAGAAATATTGGGTTGAGTCGATGGACGTTGACTGCGCGCGCACTTTCGTAGTCGCCTATTATAGCATTCGACACGATCGCATTTGTGTTTGCAGTGGTTGTGGCAGAATGCAGTTATGCTGGCATTAGGTGCGCTCTGCTCGTGTGTGCGTCATCACGACGTCTGGTCGATCCTCGATCTCAGGGCTAGTGACGACGAGCGATAATTTTGTTATGAGCGCAACGTCAAAAACATATGGCGGGGATTCTTGATGGTGGCAATTCTGCAACGGTCTGCGTGTGCATCAAGTTCACTGACAGCATCATGGCAATTTGGGTGCACTGTCACCGAGCATCTCAATGGCAATAAATTTAGCGTGATGTGCCTTTGGTGGCTGAAAGCGTGTATCCGATGAAAACACGATTGTTGTGATATGGGCATGCGCTCTAGATGTCACGAGCCATCGAGAATTGGTGGAGCTGGTATGGAAATTTTGCGGAAATCTGAACCGAATTTCTTTTTCTTATGGGGTAGTACTCGCCAAAAATTCGTTAAAGTGGAAATATCCAGGAAAAGTATTCATTGTCACAAGACATTCTTCACCTTGTTTTCTAGCGATGGATGACGGGGAATCGTAAATCATTTGTTGTGGCGAAAATTTTATTGTAGTGGAATTCGTTATAGCGGGATTCGACTGTACATCTCATGCTCCCGCATCTTACAAGGCTGATTGCCCACGGTGCGGGGTGACACTTATCCTGTGCCACTACAAGGTTTGCAGTGTACAAGTGTACACTACAAACCTTGAAGACGACAACATGAACACTGCGAGTGAGTGATGGGAGGCACTGCTCTCCAGCTCGACCCACGACGACCAGATCAGGCTCACCCAGAGAGCAAAGCAAATGGCAAGAATCAGTGGATCTCTGGACTGTGGGCCCCCACCATCAGCAAAGCCCCTTCGGAGCAACCTACAGTAGATTCCTTTGCCTGCACTTAAGTAAAGTTTATCATCGTCATCAGGCTCTACATTACGTCATTTTTTATTGATAGATATGAAACATCAGCCGGCCAACGCTTCATCATCCTAACTAAAAGAAACACTTTCATGTTGCTATTTTATTCCACTATGCCTAGGAATTCTTTCCTAAGTTTTGTTTTTTGCTATTTCACTTTCAAGTAATTGAGAGGTATGTAGAATTATTCGAGAAATATTCAATTCGCACTCACACTTCAATATTTGAATTCGTGTGGAACTTGAAATTTTGCAAATGACACAGCTCTAGTTAAAGGAGCTATGGTTTTTTAATAAACCTCTTTTATTCTGTTTTACCACTCTTGGCAACAAACTGAGGACAGCTGCTGAAAATCACCATTTTTGTTATGCTAAAAAGTATAGACTAAAATGCCCTTGGTCAATTTTATCACAGTGTTTTATTCTCAAACAAATGGTAGTGCCATATCCTAAAAGAGATTGAAGTTTTTGTCATTCCGCAGGTGGTGAATGTGAGGACAACACTCTCCTCTGTTGTGCCCAAGTTGTGGAAAGACGACCGGTATGTTCTTCTTGTTGCATATTGCATTCTCAAGCAGAATACTCTAGCCTAAACAAAGGTCATTAGGAAGATAATTATTGTTTAGAAATAGAGTAGAGCCTCAGTAAACGGAACTTCTGCCTAAATGGACTAAATGCTTCTGGTAAGATCGTGCTTGTATTCTGCATCCCTGTTCATCTCTCAGTAAACGGAACTCCTGTAAAATGGAACATATATTTCTGGTCCTTTGAGGTTTCATTCAATGAGAGTCTACTTTGATTGAATTAACAGGTTATGATGCCACTATTTGCATTTAATCATGCTCGTGGTACAGGAGGGAAAGTGGCGGGTTCGACTCCCGGCTGCGGCGGCTGCATTTCCGATGGAGGCGGAAATGTTGTAGGCCCGTGTGCTCAGATTTGGGCGCACGTTAAAGAACCCCAGGTGGTCGAAATTTCCGGAGCCCTCCACTACGGCGTCTCTCATAATCATATGGTGGTTTTGGGACGTTAAACCCCACAAATCAATCAATCAGGAGGGAAAGTGCTGGGACAATTGTGCCCGGCTGCATCAGTTTGACTTGCTGCACCGTAACGGCAATTTGCACATGTAACGCAAAATTTAGTCGAGAGTTTTATCATCAACCGAGCAACATGAGTGGTCTACACAAAGGACACAACCACATCCATATAAAGTTCTGTGTTGCCCTGCCTCGGTGGTTTAGTGGCTAAGGCACTCGGCTGCTGACCCGCATGTCACAGGGTCGGATTCTGGTGGAGGTCACTGCATTTTCGATGGAGACGAAAATGCAGGGCTGCGGGAACGTCCATATCAAACATCATTTTTCTGATCATACATGAATCTTGGGCCACATGAACACAGTGCGTGATTCTTGTTAAGGTGGCATTTGTGTGCATACCTCATTATGCTATACAGTAAAAGCTCGTTTATTCGGATTTCACGGGACCGGAAAAACTGTCCGAATTAGCCGAATGCCGAATTAACGAATGAACAGGGAAAACATTTAAAATCAAGCTGCAGAAGCATACCTTTATTTGTTGAAGTATTTTGTAATTGTCGTCTGCGTTTTCGCGCAAATTCCGACTGACATCACAATTTTTCTGAACTGTTCCAAATGGCCAACAGCACGCAAGCTGTCGGGAGTGTTCACGCAAGCGTCCTCTAATATTAACCCTTTGCAGTCCATTGTCGGGCCTCGCCCGACAACACAACACGGCCGCAGTGGTCGGCTGTCGGGCACTGGCCGACACGCTTTCTCCTGATTGAATTGCGCGCACATTTTTTTTTTACTGTGCATGTTGTGCCACCTCTTATAAAAGGCAAGAACTGCCTTGATTTCAGCTTTGCTTTTTTCACCAGATGGGGCAGTTTACGCGGTTGAACTCTTCGATTGTTCAAGTGGCGCGCAGCTCAGATTCGGCGCCGCTTGCATCGAAATAGCCGCTTTTTCACCGAGTGCCTTCTACGGCGATAATTCTGAAGCTTTTAGCGAAAGCGAAGACGATTTTAGGGACGAAGACAACTATGTGGCTCCATCGGATACCGAAGAAAGTGATTCTACAGAAGCCAGCGAGGAAGAAAACGAGGACGGTAGAGACGGTGGAAACAACCAGAACAACACAGGACCACGTGGAACCGACTGGACAGCCTACTTGGATAATTTACCAGATTTTGACCCTCTTCCCTTTACTGTCCCGAACCCGGGATCTCAAGTAAGCTCTTCCAATGTAAAGTGCGAGTTGGACTACTTTCAGTTGTTCTTCACCGACCAGCTAATTGAGCAAATAGTGTGCGAAACAAACCGCTACGCCCGTGATAAAATCTCGAGTGCCGGTGTTCTTCAGCAGTACTCGATTTGGAATGACTGGGAAGATGTGCACGTGGAAGAATTCAAAGCCTTCCTAGGGGTTATAGTGAACATGGCGTTGAACCCCCAACCGGAGCTGAAGGAATACTTTAGCAACGACCTCATCAAGAAGATGCCTTTTTTCCCACACGTTTTCAAACGAAAAAGGTTTCTTCAAATATTTTGGATGCTGCACGTTGCACCAAGCCCACATACCTCTTCAGGTCCACCAACTCGTGGAAGCAAGATCAGGGATGTTGTGACCTACATAGATGCTAAATGCAGAGAGCATTTCAATGCCGGCCTTAAAATTTGCGTAGATGAAAGTACTGTCGGCTTCAAAGGCCGAGTCTCATTCAAGTGCTACAATCCCCAGAAGCCAACAAAATGGGGCATGCGCGTTTATGCGCTGGCTGACTGCCAAACAGGCTACATTTCAGCCTTTGAACCATACTACGGCAGCACAACTGATAGCCTCTGCCGTCCCGAGCTTCCCTTAACATGCAGGATTGTGCTCCACCTGCTGGAGAAAGTGGAGCAAGCTACACCGGGCAGTGGCTATCATCTGTATACAGACAGATTTTATACGTCCCCAATGCGTGCGGAAGAGTTACTTTCGCACAGTATTTTGCTAACTGGGACTGTGGTGACAAATCGAAAACAAATGCCGCAGTAGCTCAAAAAAAAGATGAAAAAAGGTGAAGTGACGGCTTATCGCAGAGGAAGCTCGTACATGGCACTTGCCTGGCGGGATAAGCGTCAAGTGACAATGCTAAGCTCAGCCCACAATGCGTCTACGAAAGAAGTGCCAAGGAAGATAGCTGGAGGAAAAACACTGACACTGAAGAAGCCTGTGGTGATATGGGACTACACTGAAAACATGGGTGCAGTGGACAGGGCCGATCATTACTGTGCAAGTTATGCATTTTCCCGGAGGTCAATGAAATGGTGGAGGAAGCTTTTTTTTTGGCTTCTGGAAGTTTCGATAGTGAACAGCTTCATTTTGATGAGACTGCAGCTCCTGAAGCAGGGAGAGAAAGAGCAGCGACACCTCCAGTACCGGAGGAACCTGATAGAGCAGCTGGTTGGTGACGTAAGGGCTCGCGCTGGGAAGCGGGGCCCATCTACAAGATTGGATTGCGAACAAAGGCTGGATGGAAAGCCCCATTTCATCTACAAGCTCCCTGGCCGAAGCAGCAAGGACTGCGCTGTTTGCAGTGACCGGAAAACAAAAGGGGGCTGGAGGGAAACAGTGTTCTTCTGCAAAACCTGCAGAAATAATCCCGGACTGCACCCAGGAGAGTGCTTTGAACGCTTCCACACACTGCCCAAGTATCGCTAAATAACTTGGGGACAAAGAGGAACTGACGAAATAAACAACCATCAAGTTAATTTCCCACAGTTGTCGTTTTCTTTCATGGTGCCTCAAGCTAGTGAAATAGTTTCGGACCGGAACGACTGGAAAGTGGGTAAAAGTTTGGGACCGCAAGGGTTAACAGCGCCTCCGAGACTTCCCGTGAGGTGCGATGAGGTCGCGGCTGTATCTCCTCGCATGATTCTTCGTCGGAATCGTGGTCTTCATGGGCGCCTGTGACATCATTAATAATCTCGTGATCGGTCGGGAGACCACTCGTGGCGACACCATGATCAATCGCGATGTAGTCCTGAAAGGTCACATCTGTGGGACGGACAGCATCAAAAGTCGGGCAATCATCGTTGGTGGACTCAGCTGACACCTCCTCGATGCCATCGTCAGCTACTGCTGCATGCTCGGGCCTCACAAAACCGCTGTGCCGAAAATAGTTGGCGATGACTTGCGGCGGAGTGTTTTTCCACACGTGGGCGATGACGTGCACTGCGCCGAGTAAGTCCACTTGATACAACTTTCCAGCTTCTGAGCATAGGATCATTCGCTCTAGCAGGTGCTTGCGGTACTTCGACTTCACGTAGTGAATGATACCCTGGTCCATCGGCTGAAGAGCAGGCGTTGTGTTGGGCAGCAAAAAAACTACTTTGATGCTCTTCAGTTCGACTGTACAGTTATGGGCACTGCAGTTGTCAACAACCATAATTATCTTGCGGTCCTTCGACGTGAAGTGCCGGTCCAACTGCTGCAGCCAGCCGCGAAAAAATGTCCGATGTCATCCATGCCTTCCTGTTCGCTGTGTACTCGACAGGAAGGCTTTTGACGTTCTTAAAACAACGTGGCTTAAGCGCCTTTCCGACGACAAGTAGTGGCAAGCGCTCCGTGCCAGTCATATTGGCGGCAAGAAGCACAGTTATCCTTTGCTTGCACTTCTTGCCATCAATGCACGCGTCCCTTTGAAAGTCACCGTCTTGTCGGGCAGAGCTCTGAAAAATAGAGCAGTTTCGTCTGCATTGAACACGTCACGTGGTTCATATGCGGCGATGTGCTCCAGCAGCTTCACATTTCTCCACTCGGTGTTCACGCTTTCGTCAACACTGGCCTTTTCGCCGCACACACTCCTGAAGACAAGTTCGTGTCTCTCTCGAAACCTCGCAAACCACCCTTCTGACGCTTTGAACGATTCAATGTTCATCATTGCAGCGTACTTCTCACCTTGCGCCATGATGAGAGGTCCGCTCAAAGGCAGATGCACGTTGCGACAGTAATCCACCGGAGCAAAGCTTCTTCGAGCTGGGGATGAGCTGCGATTCGCAACCGCTTTCTAGAGGCATGAAACTTCTCGCTTTCGAAGGCTTGTCGAATCTGTCGTTCATTTTACACGTACGTTCCCAACGTGCTCCGCTTTGCGTTGTACTTGGTCATAACCTGCTGTCGCGATTCGCCGTTCTTCAGTGCTTCCAAAATTTACACTTTAGTCGCCAAGTTCTTCGCGTCGTAGTTCTGCCGCTTTTTCGGCGTTGCCATCACTGTAGCGCACGATGGTGGTGGCATGCAAATACGGTCACAATGGAAGAAAAAGAGAACTCCGCAAGAAGAGATGGTTCCGACACGACAACACAAGAAAAAATGGCGTCGGAGGCGCTGAGTGGAGAAAAAAGACGCCGACGTTCGGTGACGCTGCGATCGCCCCCACTAGTTGATGATGATGGCGATGCCACTCAGGTTTCGGTTTCACTCCAGTGGTGCCAGCACTGCTTTATCACACTTTTGTGTAGCAGCAGCCGT